ATTAGAACTAATTAAAGCAACTCAAAGAAATGAAGAGAAAAAGTATGAACCCCTCACTAAACATTTGGAAACATTAATTGAGAGACGGAGTGAAAATCCAATAAAAAGTAATCAAGATGTGAAAACAAAAAATGTGTCGAACATTGAGCACAGTACACCTACAAAGCGAAAGTTAGAAAATACAATTCTGTCTCCTGTTCGTGAGAAAAAAACTATTGTTACTACACCAAAGCAAGCAGAAATTTTCACGCCAAGACAAAAAAGAATTGCTACAAAAGTTACTAACCTTGTGAAAAGAATCGATGCCATCAAAAATGAAAAAGAAGATCGAATGAGTCCGATTAGTTCAAAATATGATGTTTTATCAAAGGAAGATTTCGAAGAATCAATAAATAAAACAGATGCACAGGACAATGTGTTCCAATACATTCCCGAGGAAGACAATGATAATTATAACTTCAATGAGGTTCTTGAAAAATCTGTTCAGTTAAGTAAAAATTATATTAAAAACATCGTTGATACAGACGTTTACAACGAATATTTAAATGATTTTGATGAATTACCCAGAAAATATATTGACGAAATGCATCACGATGCAGAAAGTAAATTTGATCACAGAACAGGCGTAAGACATGACACTTTCTCAGAGAAATTTTATATTGGTTCGAAGGAGGTACAATTTATAGGTCCAGATATAAAAATAGACAATGAAATCTTTAAAGGGACTCCTGGAATTTATGAACTTATTTTTAAAAAAAAGCCTGTTCATTTTACTACCGAAGACAAGGAAATTTACAAAAAAATTTTAGAAAAAACCAATGCATATCGAAGAAATTTCGATGAAAATGATCGAATATTGGGTACAAGTTCGATGAAATACAAAAATATTATAGGACCATTATTCTCAACTCTCACGAAGTATAAAAAACCGAAGAAAGGTGGTCAAGTACTATTTAAAGAAGTAAACACAAATAAAGTTGATTATGTGTATTGGGAAGATCCAAATGAATTAGTTGAAAGACTGAAGTTGTTAGTCGCTTCCCAGACAGCAGGCCATTCGGGTCATCAAAACGAAATCGTTTCTATAATAGAAGAACTACGCGAAGCTAAAATTATTGCTTAAGGTGATGTTATCGGTTTAGTTTTCAGTGAATTTACAGTAGATTTTATTTCACAAATACTAGACAACTAGTTGGAATCTGAAACCATTTTTTTTTTTTACAATATCTTTGATATGCTATTAGTGTCCGGAACTTATAAAATTGGAGAAAAAATGACCTGTTTTGCTCTAATAAAATCGCAAATATGCTCAAAATCACACTAATATTAGGTCCGACTGTGCCGACCATAGTTATAAAATTCACATTAAAGTAAGTCATGGACATTCTTTGAAGTGTTTACTATGATATTTCAAAAAAAAAAAAAAATTCGCGATTTATAAAACTTCATAATTTTGATTTAAAACTGATCGTGTTTGAAGCTTTATTTTATTCGTTCCATTTGCTGTCTCTTACTGCGGTCTCTCTCGGATTGGGGTATAACACCCACCGAACGTTCTTGGACCGATGGGATAATTTATTACTTCCGACATCTTTTCGGTGACAAATTTAATCTTTGCATAAACTTACTTCAGTGTAGTTAGTGGACTCGTTGTGACCATTGAAATATATAAAGAGTAAATTTTGAAATGGGACGAATGTCGAAGATTCCACTTTCAAAGCCACGAAAAAGTCGAAAAAACTTTTATCAGAATTATTATGTCAAAAACCTACTAAAACTACAGACAAAAAATGCAGTTTAATTACCATTTGATTAGTTTTACTATTATTATGCTTTTATTTCCTAATTTCTGTACATATAAATATTATTGTTTTTTAGACCCGCCGCTGTTTTTATACACTTACATAAAGTGTAAGTCAATGTTACTAATAGAAATTTTATTATTGTTACTTTATATAATCACCAATCCTATTGCTTCTCGGCTTTTTGTCAAAGATCAAAGTGTATTACCTGAAAGAATTTTATTTTCTTGAATAAAAGATTACCATAAACCTTATAATTAGCCGGATAACCATTCAGTATACACAGGTAGTTTCTATACCTCTTTAGTTTGAACTTAGCCGATACTAACCAGCTAGGGAACCAGTTATAATTGAAATATGTAAACCAAATAATTGAAGTACTTCGTTTTAAGTAAAACAATTGGGTATATTTATAAATACGCATAAATAAGAACGAAACAAATTATTGGTCTCTAGTTTATTTTATAATTTGCATTACATCATGACATATAGGTACGTACTGATGCAGAAATTGGTGATTTTCTCGTTGCATTTCAGTATAGGGACACACTCAGTAGAACCATTTGGACACTTAAAATCGATTTTGTTTTACTTGCCACAAATTTTTTTAGGTGTTGCGCAAGTGATTGTTTTGTGTCCGAAAAATAACTGCATTTATAATTATTCGGCTGAGTGCTTTTTTTGTTGTAAATCAATCAGTTTCCCAATTAGATTATAATTGCTTGGACTTACTATTTGTTGTCTTAATTTTGCGAAGTTGATTTTTGTACACATTCAGATTTTTATTTCGTATTAATTTCTTGTGGTCATTTTTATAATTTCGTATATGAAAATTGAACTGTTGACGAACGAAAATCGAACAATAATACACGACAAGCGGGTGCCGAACTGTTACCAGAGATTATGGGTGTCATAAATTACACCCCAGCTTTCCTGAGTTTCAACCAGCTTACCAGTACTTCTCGTCTTTATTTTTCTACACGCAAACTTCTTGTGAAGACAATAACACGGCAAAATTAAAAATCCGACAGTTTTCATTTAGCAAACATCTCCTTAATATGACTCTGGATAAATTCGGGCGTCATTTGTTAAAACATGCGAAACTTTCAGGTTCTATCGACAATGATATGATTACTATTTCAAACTATATGTTCTATAATCTGATATTTCGCTTCGAATCCGATAAAACCGTGGAAAACACGTATGTATTAAATTCTAAAGAAACGCACTATACGTTTCCTTTAGAAATTGGAACCCTTACAAAATTGAATATTACCAGTAATGAAATAAATGTTTATGTAAATAACAAATTTTTTAGTAACGAAGAATTGAAAGGATTTGTACTACGTAACGGTGATCGAATATCGTTCAAATATGCTGTAAATAAAACAGAAAATGTACCAAATTTGTTCGCAGAAATGATAATAAAATGTCCTGTTAATTTTGAAGAATCGTTAGTTAGTGCCGAGAAAGCACATTATATACATAAGACTGATAAAAATGAAACGCAAGAAGGTGTATGAGCCAACTGCCATTAAAAGAGATATTGTTGCAGAATTGCACAAACCTGTAAGAATTAATTTTAAACGACGCAAGGTTATAATAAAAGGTATTAATGAAACATTACAAGCAGATCTAGTGGAAATGATACCGTATGCTAAGATAAACAGAGGATACAAATATATACTTGTTGTTATTGACTGTTTCTCAAAATACGTCTGGGCTGTCCCTGTAAAGTCAAAAGATGCTCAACAAATCGCCACTGCAATGGAAACAATTTTATCCAAAATCGTACGGTTACCCAAAAATTTACAAACAGATCAAGGAAAAGAATTCTACAACGTAAAGTTTCAAAATCTTATGAAAAAATACAAAATTAATCATTACAATGTCTACAGTTTAAAAAAAGCCTCAATCGTCGAAAGAGTAAATCGCACATTAAAAAATTTAATGTGGAAAGAATTTAGTTTGCAAGGAAATTATAAATGGTTAGATTTATTGGCAAATGTGGTACATCGATATAATAATTCTTATCATCGTACTATAAAAATGAAACCGTCACAAGTTAACAAAAGTAATGAAAACGCTATTCTAAAAGCTGCTTATACTCAGATTAAAATAGTTAGCAATAAATCAAAATTTAAAGTTGGTGATAACGTAAGAATAAGTAAGTATCGCGGAATATTTCGATAAGGGATACACACCCAATTGGTCAAATGAGATTTTCATAATAAGAAAAATTAATCTCACTAATCCCACCACATATTTTTTGAAAGATGAAAAGGGTGAAAACATTTTAGGTGGTTTCTATGAAATGGAACTATTGAAAGTTAAGCATCCAGGTGTATATCTCGTTGAAAAAGTTTTAAAAAAGAAAGGTAATCAACTTTATGTAAAATGGTTAGGATTTAATAACACCCACAACAGTTTGATTGATACAAAAAAAATTACATAGTCGCTTTTCTCTGTCAGTTGACATAATTGATACGATGAAGTTGGTTGTAGTCGACGTACAAGGTTTTTGTCTACCTGAATTCATTGTAAAAGAACTTGCGATTTACGATGGAATTAACACAATACACGAAACATTCAAATCTACAAAACAACTCAAAGAAATCGATGAAAGAACGAAGAAACAAGCTAGATATCTAGAACGTTATCATCACATGTTGAGATTTAATGACGGCTTCAAGGAGCAGATATCTGTAAAAGAAATTTTGTTCAAATACATCAAGGAATATGTAGTGGAGATCTTATATGTAAAAGGAAAATGTAAAGAAAATTACCTTAAGGAAACGCTAGGAAAAGACTGCCCCAAAATTGTGAACCTCGAAACAATTGAAGACTCTGTGAAATTATCTAAAGAAATCCCAGCATGTGATAAACATATTGCTAATAATAAAAAATGTTACTGTTCTTTAAACAATGCTAAATGTATTTACAATTGGTTGTATTCAAGGTTTCCTCAATAAAGAATACTATATTAAAATGTGTTTTATTTAATCGCAACACAAAACGTCAAAATAACGAACGAAAAAAAAAACTGTCAGGTGTGGGATTCGAACCCACGCTCCCTTTCGAGAATCAGAGCTTAAATCTGACGCCTTAGACCGCTCGGCCAACCTGACTATGGAAAAACGGGTCAGGTCGATCGAGTAAAAGGCGGTGTCAAAACGTACAGGTCAGGCACGTGCAGTCCTAAGGTAAGTCAGCCAAGGCCAGCCCCGTGCAGCGACCCGACCTAAAAAAAAAAGAGGGGAAAGATCTCGAGATGACCAAGGGCAATAAACGTAATTCCTACAGACGAATCCATCGACTTTTATACAAGTATAAAACGGAAGTGGGGATGCGAGATTGCGTCCGAGATCCCTCCCCGACCTAAACGAAAAGAGGGGATAGATCTCGAGATGAACGAGGGCAATAAACGACCAAGGTCGAGCAACGACTAGGTCAATGATCGCCCGATGAAAAGTAATGGGGGAGCTGGACCAGTTTGACCTCATTTGACCTGGTCTAGAACCCCCACTATATAACTACTGGAAAATACTATAGAAGTTGAGCATACCCAGGAATGCTGTCAGTTCTTCTACATTTCTTGGTGTTGAAACTTCTATTATAGCTTTTTTCTTTTCTTCGGAGGGCCGAATACCTTCTTCTGTAATCTCGTACCCCAAGAATTGCACTTTGTTCGTTAACAAAATACATTTTTCTTTTCTCAACCGAAGCCCATCTTCTCTAAATCTTGATAATATTGCTCGCAGACGCATTTTTAGATTTTCCATTGAGGAGGCTACTACCAAAATGTCGTCAAAATATGGTAGAACCCCAGGGATTCCTGCTAATCTAAGATCTATAAATCTTTGGAAAATATGTGGAGCAATGTTGATGCCAAATTGCAATCTCTTCACTCTAAAAGCACCTTTATGCGTTATTAAGGTTTGGGCTTCTGCAGTCTCTTCTGTCACGGTCAGTTGCTGGAAAGTTTGTCGGAGATCCAGTCGAGCAAAGTATTTTCCCCCTGCTAGAACTGCTAGCATTGACTGTACTGATGGAATCGGATAGGTGTCTGTGTGGAGAACCGTGTTCAATGTGGATTTGTAATCCCCACAAATTCTCACTTCTGTGGGTGACTTCATTACAGCTACAATGGGTGTTGCCCAATTTGGGTGGCTTACAGGTTCTAGCACACCTTGTTTTTCCAAATCTTCTAACTCTTTCTCAATGAGAGGTTTCATGGCATATGGCACTTTTCTTGCCTTACAAATAATCGGTTTGACGTTTGCATCCAGATTGAAGGATAGAGGAGTGCCCTTAAATTTGTCTAATTCATGTGAAAAGACATCTTCGAATTCTTGATATAAATCAGTGACCTTTGCTGTCTGAGAATTTATACCAACCACGGCTATGCCTAGTGCCTCAAACCAGTTACGATCTAAGAGGTTTGCATGATCTTGTTCCGTCACTATGAGGGCTAGTCGTTGACATCTCGACTTTAACTTAATGGTTACATCACAGGCACCTAAACGATCAATGTTTTGTTTCTGGTAATCTTTCAGTATCACATTTGGTTGTTTTAGCTGTAGGCTGTTTGCTGTACGCCTCACTTGTTCGAATGTACTTTTTCCAACTACCGAATGTGCAGCACCTGAGTTGTAAATGCTGTATTCATTTGGCTCATCGACTTTAATGCTGGTTTGTTGATGTGTCGATGACTGTTTCATTCTTGTAGATTGTTGTCCCTGTTGTCTCTTCTTAGATAAACAAACTCTCTCTATGTGGCCTACCTTCTTACAAAAATGACATTCCACCCCTCTGAATGTGCACTGATCAGGCGAATGGTTTGATTTTCCGCAACGAAAACAAGGTTTGTTTATTTTTCCATGGCGTCCATTTTGTCATCGTTCATCTGTCAATTTCCGTCTTTGGTCGGTATTATAGGAAAGCTTGTTGACCGATGACGTCTGTTGGGATGCGGGTAAAACAGGTTCCTTTAACAAAGATGCATGCGCCAGCGCTGTTTCGTGTGCGATTGCAATGGATTGGGCACTTACAAATGTGAGTGTTTCTTCTGCCAATAGGCGACGCTGTAGGTTTTCATCTCTGACGCCGCACACCAATCTATCTCGTAACATGTCGTTGAGTGTACCGGCTTCAAAATTGCACTTTTCAGCCAGTTGCCGTAATTCTCCAATGAATGCGGAAATGGATTGCCCTGATCTCTGTTCTCTTCTATGAACTGAAAACGGCTTACTATCGATGACGTCTTGGGGACGAAATGATCTCGCAGGAGCTTTATGATTTCTTCGTACTTCTTTTGTTTCACAGCGGCCGGGGCTGCTTTGGCCTTTATGATCTAGTATGTGGCTGGGCCGCATACGCTGAGAAAAACGGCTCTTTTCTCTTCATCTGCTACTATTTTCTGCGCCCCCATGTAAAATTCTAGCCGTTCTTCATATGTAGTCCACGCTTGTGGATTCGTAGGGTCGAACGTTTCTATTGTTCCTCTGGAAGCCATTTTCTTTTTCGCTCTTCCTTCCCTCTTTGCTTTGCATGTGCACTGTTTCGCGAAGCTGTTCGTTACCGACTCGACTGCGCCAATCTGTTGTGTATTTAAACGACTACTAAAACATCAAAATATATTTAGGTAACGATAATTACAGAACATGTAAGACATGACAATATAACATGCTCACGCGGAGATAGACTACCATCGACTCTCCTTTTGCGGCTTCCCCACGGACATGCGCATAAGGGCGGTCGTACACTACATATGGCTAGAGGCTTCACGAGCAACAACTTTTTGAAATCTGAGACGATTTTGCATGCTCTAAGTGCATTGTGCCTATCAGAATCGTAACAATATCTCGAATATATTGTGCAGACTTCATAAAATTCGACCAAAATACGATTTCTAACTAAAATCTGATGGTTTAGTTAATTTTCCGAGATCGTTGGGTGCTGATTGGCTTAAAACTACAAGAAAACGCTATAAAAGTGATGTTTCTGAAGAATTTTAACAATATTCTTGTATCTCGGAACGCCAGAATATGAAAAACTAACCCAAACGTCTCCTTCTGGCAATCTGAGACGATTCCGTATGTTCTAGATGCGTTGTGTCTATCACAGTCTTCAGAAAATGTCAAAATACAGTTCAGACTTAATAAAATTCGACCACAATACGATTTCTAGCTAAAATTTGATGGTTACGTTGCTCTTTCCGAGCCCATAGTTTGTCTGATTGGGTTAAAACTACAAGAAAATGCTTTAAAAGTGACGTATATGAAGAATTTTTACAATTTTCTTGTATCTACGAACGCCAGAATGAGAAAAACTAACTCTAATGTCTCCTTTTGGCAATCTGAGACGATTTTTCGTGCTCTAAGTGCGTTGTGTCGCTCAGAATCATCAGAAAATATAGAATTATAGTTCAGACTTCATAAAATTAGAACCAAATACGATTTCTAGTTAAAATTTAATGGTTTCGTTGCTCTTTCCAAGCTCATAAGGTGTCCGATTGGTTTAAAACACGAGAAAACATTTGAAAAGTTACGTTTATGAAAAATTTTAACAATTTTCTTGAATCTACGAACGACAGACGAATTAAGCCAAATCACGCATTAAATAAAGCGGAGAAAATTTTAATATATTCTAGGAGCTTGCATATAAAATATTTTCTTGACCCGAAATAAATAAGGCCTAATATTAACATGAAAGTTAATCGATTCTAATTAATATGGGCAGTCAGTTAACGAATTTACTACTTTATATAAAAATATAAGGCTTGACCCCTTGTCTCTTTCAGTTAAACTTTGCACTGAAAACCGCTCAAAAAGTAACTGTTTCGAATACCCCACCGGAGGATAAACGCCATCCTCACGAAGACAAAATTTTCAGAAATTTTCTCTACACCCGCTCCAAACTATTCCGATGTGTAATATGGTGAGGAAACCAGCATGCCGATGCGTACTCGAGATTAGTTCTAACAAAACCATTAAAAATACACAATAAAGTGGATATGTTAGAAAATTCTCTGGCATGACGCAATATATAGCCGTACACTTTAAGCGAACTAGCAACAACTCGGTCAACATGTTTTGTAAAAGCCAATTTACTATCAAATCTCACACCCAAGTGGCGCACAAACCCACTTTTTGCCAACACCTGGTCCATTGATTTATACTTAAAGGAAATAACATTCTTTTTGAGCCCATACTACATCACCGTACACTTATTTCCATTAACAGGTGATTTTAACAGTCATTTTGAGAAAAGTTCTGAATTTTTAACTAATTTTAGGTGTCTTATTGACTCGTTTGGAATTAGGGTCACTATTTCTCAGTTTACGAGATCAACTGGGTGTATTTTAATTAATTTGGTAAACTCTTAGTACAAGACAAATGTGGTTGATCCTGGTCTCGCGGATCATAGTGGACAAGTCGTCAGTATTAAGGTAAACATGCCCAAAAATAAAAACGCAATAATTTTTAGAAGAAAAATTACACAACAGACTATAAAAAAATTGCGAGAGAGCCTTGTCATAATTGACTGGACTGAACATACATCCTTTCATGATGCAGGACATGTTAATAATGCGGCATTTTTCACGGTTCAAGTGTATAACACTCTGATAGACAAACTAATGCCATTGAAAAAGTATACATTAAAAAATCGCAGTCTAAATTGGTATAACGATAACTTAAAGAATATGCGTTCCGTCTTAGAATCATTAACTGCACAAATTCCGTGCTTGACAAAGTAGCGTTCAATTCCTTTCGTGACCTATACCGATATACCTACCATTACTCATACTAAAATAGAGACATATAATACATTTTTAGCAGAATCTACTAATAGTCTAGATCTACAGACGCGTGGAATATTATAAATGAGGAACGTCCTACTGTTGGTAAAATTCGTTTTAATAAGCCCTAAACTTTTTCACTAATACTGCTGCTCAAATTGTCAACCAGTTGCAGTTCAGTGCTTCGAATATGGAGACTTTCTTAGTTAAAGTTCCCACATGTAAAAACAACTATTATCTTTACCCCACTACCCCGTACGAGGTTTTTAGAGTGGTACATTCCCTGAAAAATACCAATTCGTTTGAGGCTTACTCGATGAATGTCAATATACTTAAAAATACTGTTCATACACTTACTCAGTTGAAAAACATGATTTTTAGTTCGGGAGTGTTTCCAGACATCTACAAATTAAGTAGAGTGGCACCTGTTTTAAAAAAGGGAGAGCCAAATATTAAAGATAACTATAGTCCGATATCTATCGTACTCTTACTTGGTAAAGTTATCGAAATCTTATTCAAAAATCGTTTAATTACTTTTTTTGAGAAATTTTCTTTATTTCATAAATCGCGATTTGGATTTAGAAGTAATCTATCAACGGTAGATGCTGTCTATGAGGTAGTGAGAAACACAGTCAACGGATTTGAAAATAGTGAATTTACAACCATTACGCTACTGGATTTAAGCAAAACATTTGACTGAGTTTCTCACTCACTGGTGTTAAATAAACAACTATGGGGTAAGGAGAATACCATTAAACCTAATCAAGACGTATTTAAATGGAAGTAAACATTACGTCACTATAAATCACACGAATTTGATAACCCGTGAAATTAAACATGGTGTGCCCCAAGGCTCTGTTCTTGGGCCACTTTTATTTATCATTTATGCAAACGATATTTTCTACTCCTTCCCCCCGGATAGTGTAATTATGTATGCCGGTGATGTTACTTTTATAAGTGCAAAAAAAGCGATTCGTATTATTACAAAGAGCCATCCTAGAGATCATTGATAGCTACTTTTCTCAGTCGCAAATACACAACCATCATACGAGAAACAAAAATCAGCTACTCTTGCCATTTCATAGAATCAACAACTGTATAAGAAACTCTTCAAATTTGCATCTCTACAATAAGCTGCCTAGCAGTATTCAGCATTATCCTTTAAGTAAATTTAAATCTGCTGTTAAGAATTTTGTACTGAAAAATTACTTTCATTCTGTTGAGGAATTCTTCGAAGCTCCATTTCAGTTAATTTCATAAATGAGACTTATTTACATCATTGTTTTATTGTCTCCCGTTTATCTTATTTTATTATTGTTATTGTACTTGTTTTTTGGACTTGCCATACATGACTATTCATAACATGGTAAATAAACCTATATTTATTTATTTATTTATTTATTTATTTATTTATTTATTTATTTATTTATTTATTTATTTATTTATTTATTTATTTATTTATTTATTTATTTATTTATTTATTTATTTATTTATTTATTTATTTATTTAGCTGAAACCAATTCAACGCTACATTAATATTTCCTTGCAAATTTTCGCAGTCTAACGTGTTTTTATCCTAGAAAATATTTTAATATCATCTGCATATTATAATAGACAAGGGACAGTTAGAGTAGCTACTACACCATTTCGCAGAAGAATGTACATTTATGAACACAAACGACACGATCGCATAAGTGGGATGAACAAAATTTAATAAGACTAGGTGTGTCTCCCATTATACCAAGTTTGTTTAGCATAATTCCATGATCAAGCTTGTCAAACGCTATAGATAAATCCAGATAAATTACATCCGTCTCACAATTCTCATCAAAAGCTTTGGAAACAAACTGCGTCAACGCATACAAATTAGTCACCGTTGACCTTCCAGGCATGAAACCATGTTGTACTTCACCCCAGGAATTCTTAAATTGAAAGAATAATTGTTTAAATAATACAAATTCAAATATTGTAGAAAAATTATTAATGAGAGACGCTGGACGATCATACTCCATTTCATTTTTCTTACCACCTTTGAAAACGGGAACAATTTTCGATTCCTTCCACAAATTAGGAAAGAGAGAACTTTAATTGACATATTAAATAATCTGGTCAAGAGACCGGCCAAAGCCAGGGCACACGCTCTAATAATAATTGCCGGAATTTTTTCAGGATTTTCGTTTTTAATTTGAAAATCGCTTCCATAACGTCCGTCTCTGACGCCGGTGATAATAATTCAATGACGTGCTGAGGGAAACATGATTAACTGGAACGCTATTCAGAAGGTACTTACTGAAGAGTTATATTACGACTTATATTTACGAGAAAAAGCATATACACTCATTTTCGTTCCTGAATAATTTATATTTTTAAAAAAGAGTCATGTTGAGAGGAATCTTTGTACCATTTTTTTAACCTTTACAAATTGCCAGAATTTCTTAGGATCAGTCAAAACTTCACTTTTTACCTTTGACATATAGTTTTTGTAAAGCTTTACTAGTATCAATTTAACTTCCTTGCGTAGGTTTTTGAATGATTCATAATCCTCCTTCCTGTCATTTTGTTTTAAACTTTTTCCAAATCTTGCTCTTCCCCTTAATTTTGAATATAAGCTCCTGGGTGAACCAAGGCGGATAGTTGTAATTTCGTACTTTATTTTTTCGAACAAGTAAATCAAATAAATCATATAACGACTGATAAAATAACTGATAGGATAAATTTGGATCAGAAACGTTAATTTTAAAACGTTTTCTTGTGGTTTTAAGCCGATCAGATACCTTACGGGCTCGAAAACAACAAGAAAAGCATCAAATTTTAGCTAGAAATCATATTTTGGTCGTTTTTATGAGCTCTGAACTATATTTCGACTTGTTTGTTGCTGACGATTCTGATCGACGCGACGTACTGCAGTATGCAGAATCGCCTTAGTTGATGAAAAGGAGACGTTTGGGTTATTTTTTCACATTCTGGCGTTTGTAGATTCATGAACTTTGTTAAAAAACTTCTGAAAAGTTACTTTTAAAACGTTTTCTTGTGGTTTTAAGCAGATCAGAGACCCAATGGGGTCGAAAACAGCAGGGAGAACATCAGATTTTAAAAATTAAAATTGACCAAAAAATTATTGCTAAGCAAACTTTAATGCTTTCCTTGCTGTTTTCGAGCCCGCTTGGTGTCTGATCTGCATAAAACCACAAGAAAACCCTCTAAAAGTAACGTTTATGATGTTCTTTAACAAATTTCATGAAACTACAAACGCCAGAATATCAAAAACTAACTCAATCATCTCCTTTTGACAAATTAAGTCGATTCTGCATACCGCAAGTACGTCGTCTCGATCAGAATCGTCAGCAACAAGATAATTGGAAAACAAAAAACAAGACCCAGTAGTATTATATATTTAATATCCAAATGATCAGCAGTTGCACCACAAATCCAGGTCCACTCACTCCAAGAGAAAAGTATACATCGATTATAAATTGTCTTTAATAGCTTGCAACAATGCGTTTTGAGTACCACACACACCATTTTTATCGTCTTGATCCACAGCCCACATCATCACACCTCCCAAATTCCTACTTTTTGCGTATTGCACCTAAAAAAATAGTCAAAACTAGACAAAAAAATTGTGAATTCTTACTTTTAGCCCAATAGACCGAGGGTTGTCAAAACCAATCCACTGATCATCCGAATATTTATATGGGTTTTCCTGTTCGTCGTCCCATACTTCCGTCCATCCATCAACTAGAGCACAAATCTAAAGCAAAAATTTATATCAGAATAATTAAATAAATCATTACGGAAATTAATAAATGTACCTGAGCATATGAACCTCCTTGCCCCTCCCCAACAACCGGTGCTCCAACTCCATGGTTATTGGGATCAGCTAATGTGAAACCATGTCCGTAAAAGCCTAAACCAAGAACGGTTTTTTCAGGTGCTGCTCCTCTGTTGAACCAATTATTTATAGCAGCGTCACAATTAGCGTGACTTTGTTCCCAGTCGCTGTCAGTCGATGAAGCATAGAGAGGAGAATTTTGTCCAGTTTTACCGTTGGCTGCACTATGCAAGTCGTAAGTCATCACGTTAATGTAGTCCACTACACTAAAATTCAAAATATAATAATCGCCGTTTTGCAATTTTGTTAAAGCTACTCTGAAATGGCGGCAACATTGTAAGCTCCAGCATCGGGATCAGAAGATACAGCTGTTGTTATCAGATAGCCACCGTTGTCGTTAAATTTGTTGCGAAGAACCCAGAGCATATCGATGAAGTTTTCCTGAAAAATTTGAAAATAATACAATCGGACAGTCTGACGATTCGGAAATAGGGTTAACCGCACAGGTGTATCACAGGGGTCAGTCTTGAGATCCCTGTTATGTCTGATAAACGTAAATGACCCCTTACTAGACAATATTTTTTTTTTTTAAGAAAATACTGAAGAATTCTTACTGTATAATTTTGAAGAATTAGTTTGATTTTTTTAATTTAATGTATGTTTTGGCACTAAAATAAATATAATATATACATCATATCCACATCATATCATGTATGGCAGAACGAAGCGAAAACTGTAAAACATCTTATATTCTTACTTGATCGGCTGGAGTTCCACCTCTTTCGCCAGGATATTCCCAGTCGATATCCACCCCATCAAAATTGTAAATTTGGAGATACCACAAGGTACTCTCGGCCATGGTAGCTTTTTTGGTAGCATCGGCTGCAACATTCGAGAAAGGAGTTGACCCTTCTGCCCATCCACCAACACTTAGAATTAATTTTAAATTGGAATTCTTTGATTTTAAGGCGCTTAAACGGTTCAATATGTCTGAAAAACAAACTCAGTTTCCATTTTTACAACTGTTAGAAAGTGGTACCATCTGATCCGTCCAGTCGAAGAGAGCCATCTTCGTTAATTCCCATGAAGGAGTAATTTATGTGGGTGCAAATATTCACATCTATGTCTTCTGGGCTCATAATTGCTTCGTCCCATGATTCATAATAGCAAAATACCTTATCTGGAAAGTACATCTTGAAATTTAAACTGTAACACTTCTAAAATACGAACCGGTAGCAGCTGAACACGACTGCAGTAAAATGCATATGGAGAACAACAAACTGAAGAAGTCTTTAAAATTCATGTTCTCGATTTTAATGCAAACTGTTTAGAAGCAAAACTACAGCAGATAATGGCCAAGACGTGGACGACCTATTTTATTTGCAAACTGTACTCGTATTGTGTTTGATATCAAATTGTTTCGATAGTTTTGGAGTATTAGAACAATGAAAGGTAAGTGTTCGATTGTAAGCGATAGTAATAAGGATTCTGTTTGTCTAAAAACGATAGAAATAAGTACATGTTACTAAGCGACCAGCTATGATCTAAAAATAATAAACACTTACTAACGTACCTAAATTTATTTCTTTTTTCAACAGTGTGATAGCCACACAATGTGGGAATGAAATTGAACATGGAGATGTCTTGAATATCAAAGTATCTTTTGCGTATAGCTAAATACATTGCAATAAACTGGTTTACTGCGTTTTGTTTTTATGTTATTCTAATTAGTATGGACTGTACTTCACCATTACTTGTTTGATAAGAAGTTGTATTAGTTATTTGGAATTATCAATGCTAGTTTTAAATGTCAAATTTTTGTTGTAAAAACACATAACCCAAAATGTTTCCTCGACCTTACATGCCCCCTAAATTACGAAAAAAGATCTCCCGTTTGCGTTTGTCTGTCTGAGTTTTATAAGACAGATATTTTTCCAAACTACTGGACTGATTGTTGTCTAATTGTAATAGTTATTTACATTATGAGTGCGGTAAGTGACATTTTACAGGCGAGGTTTTAATTTTGAAGCACGACCTATTTTTATACTTACACTAATCCTTCAAATTCAAACCCTACGAAATTGTAACTCGGTATCGAGTACGCGGCTTTAAACAATTTTACAGTAGGCGTTACGTTAAAACATTTGCAACGAAAGAAGAACGTCAAAATATTTTTTTGACATTTCGCTTTTCTAACTAAAATTTTCTGTGTTTTTCAAATATTCTGTTGAACAAAGACTTGCGTAATTTGTATTTTTCTGCAGGTATTCTTTATTATTTGTAAAACAATTTATTTTTTAAAAGCCTTTTAAACATAAAAATTTCGAGTTTCGCGTGTGGTAACTTACATTTTGCACCGCGAAATAAATTTGAAGCACGACGGCGAAGCCGGAGTGCTTTAATGATTGAGCGCTGTAAAATGGTTAACGCACAAGATTTGTATTAAACTTTTTGGCCGACAATTTTTAAAAATTATTTATATTTTTTATTAAATTTCACATAAAATCAGAAATAAAACAAACATAACTGTCAATGAATATGTGAATTACAGTGATCTGTAACTGGTGCACAAAAATACACAAGATGGCGTAGCTCCGTTTGAACTAAAAAATATTCGAAATTATATGATACATTGCTGTTCAACAATAAATAACTTATGTATTTGGCGTTTTAATCATTATATTTTCGTTGTGTAAAGAGATTTTTATTTATAAACGTCTAGGAAGAGCGGACAATTTGGTCAATTTTTACGCACGCCGGATGGTAAACATCCAGGATGACTGTAAATTTGATGTTTCCGAAGATGTCATTTCAATGTTAATTTGACGTTTACATGTCAGGAGGCCAAACACGTATTTTAAGAATATGTGTAGATAATAAAACGTTAACTAAAATTTGTCTAATCACGGCTATTAAGAATGTGATGACGTCACCTCAAAATTTTAGATACTAAATGCTGTGTAAAGTTTATAAAATAACATACTTCTACACTTATGGTTTTTGAATCCGTTTTGACTGTTTACGTTAAACTTTCAGATTTTTGAAAAAAAAATCAGAATTACATATGACCATTTTACAATATTTAAATCTAAAACTACAAATGTTCTGATGTTTTGCAAACGTTTTAAGGTTGTCGTAGAGGTGTGGTAAATTGTTCATTTAAATATTATGAATGTATACAAATAAAATAATGAATAAGTCACTTTATTTTATTGATCAAATCAAGAACGGCTCCCATTAAACATCTTTTAATCCTGAATATTTTTTTTCTCGCACCTTTCTATGATACATCTCCATATGCACATTCATAAATCTAAAGTCAGGCCAGAGATGTTGTATTTTTTGAAGAAGAACTTCCAAAAATATTCCGATGTGAAAACAATGATTGCTTGTTTTACCTAATCACCGATAAAACGAACCTTCAAGATCAAACTGAAGAAAGTGAAAAGTATGAGATCGAAGAAAGTTAATCAGACGAAATTTATGCAATTCCTGTAGCTATTGCAGACACGATTAAACCCACTGATACATATGCAAATAAATTAAGTTCCACAACGCAAGCCAAAGTAATGATTAAACCAAAAGTTGCGCAGAAAGCTTTCCAAACACAAGAAGATCTGTTGCAGAATGTAGATTTATTGAATGAAAATATCTCTGTCACAACTTCCAAAAAAGCTAAGGATGGAGCTATCCTCGTAGGATGTAATAATATCGAAAATTCAAAAAAACTAAAACAACTTGCAGCAGATAAACTATTGAATGATTACGATGTTTTTGTTCTTAGATCAGAACACCCTGGGGTTAGAATCGTCGGGATTCCCTCTTGTCTAAATAAGGAGTCTTTTATGAGTTATTTAATATCCCAGAACTCTGATTTGTTAGCAGATGCAACTGAATGTAGGCTTCTAAATTTCTGGCACCTAAAAAAGAATAAAAAAATACTTCAGGCAACTGTTCAGCTTGATATACATACATATTAGAAAATTATGAAAGCTTGTGGATTACTTGTAGGCATAAATATTTGCAAGTTGTATGATGACACGACAGTTACACGTTGCTTTAAATGCAATGGGTTCGATCATAAAACTAAGTGCCCTAGACCAGTTATCTGTGCTTTATGCGCAGGTGAGCACCAGGTAAATACTTGTCACTCAGGTGCTAAGGTTTGTAGTAACTGCAGAGGTCTCAAACATATGCATGGTTTTGACATTAGTGTTGACCATCCGGCTTGGTACTATAAGAGTTGTTTTGCGTTTAAATTTGCCGAAGATAAACTTCGTAATGTTGTATTTGGTGAACCAGTTCGCATAGATATTAGCAAAATTCCTAATTTCAAGCCTACAGATGTTCAAAGTGTCCCAAGTACGAGCTCAGTTCAAGTGTTTAATCGTTTTGAACCTTTGTCAGATTTTAAAAGCAGTTTTTTAGATCGGCCTCAGATGCGGCCAATGTAAGTAACATAACTTCGAAGTCTGCTAAATCACCTACAACCTTTCCCAGCAGTAGCAAAAGTTTCTTTGTTTATTATCAGAACACTCGCAGCATTAGATCACGTGTTAATGATATTTACTCCAATTTAACGGCTCATGTATTTGATATAATAGTATTACAGAATCATGACTTGATCCATCGATCAATAACAGTGAATTTATTCCGCTAAATTACATTACATTTCGTTCAGAGAGACGTCAAAGCGGCGGGGGAGTTGTACTGGCTGTTAATGCTCAGTTCAACGTTAAATGCCTGAACATGTCGACATTTAAGGACTTTTTTCTGTGTGATATCATAGGTTGTAAGTTATTTTGTCAAGAAGCTAATTTACACATATTTTTGGTTTACATACCGCCAGATCTTTCTGTAACTGAGATTGTGTTATTTATGGAATGCTTTGAAAGCTACGCCATTGAGCTTTCTAATATATTTTTAATTGGGGACTTCAATTCTCCAAGTTTTTCCAGTAATAAGAATACTACAAAATCAAGTTCTGTTCGCAACATGACTTCACTTTTAAACTTAACACAGCTTAATTCTGTTCCAAATTCTGATGGTCGCCTTTTAGACCTAGTTTTTAGTACCTCAACTCACTGTACTGTTAGTCGTGATTTATGTCCACTAATTGCGGAAGACATGCACCATCCGGCGTTACATATTAATCTCCAATTAAAAAAAGTCTCTTACATCAACTTCGATACATGTAATATGGCCAAATTGTACAATTTTAAAAAATCGAATTTTCTTTTATTGTACGAGGATATTTTCAACGCTGATTGGAATTATTTGTATAGAATCGCTGATGTAAACCAAGCTTGTGAGCATTTTTATAGCGTATTGTATGATATACTTGACAAGCATGTGCCTTTGTTTAAGTGTAAAAGTTTCGTTACCCTAACTGGTACTCGACAGAACTCAGAAGTATGCTTAAACTAAAACGAAAGTTGTTTAAATGCCACAAGCAGATACCATCCGGTGAAGCATACCTAAATTTTTTCATATACGGCGTGACGTCAAACGGTTAATTCGTGGGGATTTTAATAACTATATTATTAAAGCGCAAAACTCATTGTTAAGTGATCCAAAATATTTTTGGACGTTTATAAAAGAAAAACGTGGTCGTTGTTCCATTCCAAGTTCCGTACATTTTGACAACAGTAAGTATGACCGTCCATTGGACATTGTTAATGTGTTTGCCCATTATTTTTTCTCGATTTTTGATTCACCTGAAACCAACGAATTGCAAGGTAATAAATATGTTAGTAAGAGCAGCAACTTGCCGTTCCATATCCAAATTTTTGATGACGATGTGCTTGCAGCTATCAGTAAAATTAAAAACACTTATTCCGCTGGCATCGACCAAGTCCCTTCTTTTCTGCTAAAAGACTGTTCAGCTGCCTTTCTTAAGCCTTTGTGTTGTTTGTTTAACCTAAGCCTTAATAATTCTTGCTTCCTGAATATGTGGAAGAACACTAAAATTGTACCGGTATACAAATCAGCAGATATATCCGATGTGCGCAGTTACCGCCCCATTTCAATTTTATCCTGCTTTTCCAAAGTTTATAAAAGTATTTTATATCGACAAATTTATTTCAATATTAAGTAAGTAATTTCTGTACACCAGCACGGCTTTTCTTTAGGAAGATCAACTCATACGAACTTAATGTGTATGTCACAAATAATATCAGTAGTTATATAGTGGGGCTGCTGGCTCAGGTCAAATGAGGTCAACCCGAGCTAGGAGCCCCACAACTTTTGATCGAGCGGTCATTGATCTTTTTGGTCGACAATTGACCTGGGCGTTCATTGACTCTTTGTGTATGAATGTGACTGACCTCGGCGTTGACCTTGCTTTGTCATCGCCTTGTGCTCGATCGATCTGACTCTGTGTC